CTTTGGAAATTTTCGATGTCTGGATTCTTGTTTGGCAGCGTTTCTTTTTGTTGATATAACTAATAGGGAAGGAATGTTATAGACCTTCCCAGGTCCATTATTAACAAATGATTTTTTAAAGGCTTAAAATTATATAATGACCGGGATTAAGAAAAATAATTTTCTTACATATAATAATTCACCCCATGAATTCATTGAATGTTACACTTCTAAATCTTGAATCACAAAAATTAAATTCTATTCTAATAAAATGACTGATTCAGAAACAGAAGATTACATGTCATCAAAATATTTAGAGCAATCAACATCAAACAAAAAAGCAACAAAAACATACTCGGAACGTCGTCGTGAAAAACTTTTATCTAATCGTGGATATATTAAGCCTAGACAAGAGCTTGAAAAAGAAAGTCGTGAAAAAGGACTTGCCAAAAGGATCGACGAGGAGGACAACATTGAATCGCCTGGGTTGAAAATATTAAAAAAATGGGGATATAGAAAGGGGATGGCATTGGGCGAAAGTTCTAAAAATGAGGGCATAACGGAACCTTTGGGCATTGAATTAAAACAAGGTCATGTCTTTGATGATAAGCCGTGTGATTGTGTGTGTATTTTATAAGAGATTATTAAAAAAAAATCTTTTGCAACTTGTATATAAAGATAGACTTGGTTTGGGAATGTCTACAGAGCTTAAACAAAAGGCCAAGGTGGAATATGAAAGAAAATCAAAGAAAATCAAAGTGGATGAAGTCACGTTTCGTGAACGAATTAGACAAGAACATCTTGATAAACGTATACGAGCGCAATTAAAAGCTTTACAAAAAATATGTGAAACTTTGGATACAAGAAAGGTTCTCAAACAAAAACAATTACTGATTAATTTTATTAATAGTGAAATTATATTAATGAATTTTATGAATTTTATTTTGATCAAATACATTTATTTATACATATTAGGGAATTGAGGTATCATCATTACTATCATTGATTTTTTAATTTGCAAAAATAATTATTATCAATTTAATTTATTGTTGATGATCATTTTCCAAGGATAATATTTTATGGCATTGTAACGAATCTGACGATGAAGAAAAATCAAAACAAGATCATGATGATGTTAATCCTGATGATTTATTGGAGACCATGATTAAGACAATACCACCGGCTAAAGGTGATTACAAAGATGATGATGATGATGATAAATTTACTAAGCTAGAAGTAAATCATTTTTTTTTAATGAAAATTATTGGTTTTTTTTTAAAGAAAATATACATAAATTTATAATCAATTTTGGTAACTGATATTATTAGCCCTCTGAAAAGCTTGATATAATATTGAAATATTTACGTGAAGAATATTATTATTGTTTTTGGTGTGGATGCAATTATGATAATGCTGAGGAATTAAGTAAAGAGTGTCCTGGAGTCGAAGAAGATGATCACGATTAAGATAAACTTATTCATTTTTAATGATGTACTCGCATAAATTTCGATGGCAAATAATACAGCAATCAATATTCATTCATTCATCACTCATTCACTGATTTAATTAAATTTTATTAGATTTTAATCACAATAGCATCTTCTCATATCAGAAAGCTTTAAAGTAAATTGATGATTATCTTTTATTGATCTATGTATTATTATTAATTTAATCCTAAACCTTTGTTTAAATTTTGATTTAATATGCTTTTTTAATTTCTCATTAAAACTTATTCTGATAATCTTTATATATTTCAATATTCGACTTTAATTTTGATATCTCTTTCTTTAGTTTTTTTATCATTCCTTTTTATAAATGAGAAATTATTTTATATATAATTCTTTCACTAAATTGTATCTCCTCCATAATGTTAAGTTTCAACATTGTCAATGGCTAAATTGGAATATTATTTTAAAAAAAGAAAGTGTATTGCGATCAAGTTTTATGTATCTTCAGGTAAAAAATCGGCTCAATTTTAAAATTATTTACAACATTCTTAACAGTGTAGCAGTGAATGCTAAATAAAAAAATACCTGCATCTAAAAATGTATCTTTCCAACCAGCTATCATAAATAGTTACAAAGAAGTAACAGGATATTCAATCAGAACAATGATGCGAATCATTTTTGAAACTCTTAATTTAGAACTAAAAAATGCAAATGGATCTTTATCCTCTGAAATTTCGCTATTATTATCACTTTCGCTGTCACTTCAATCTATTTTATAAAAAATTTTTTTGTTAACCTTTGCTCTTAAAAAACTTTCAATGGAATTAGCATACATGTATAATGGTCAATGCATTATATAAATAGGAGTTTATACATTACTTGTTTCTATATTACCCTTTTAGACCATCTTTAAATTTTTCATGAAACTAATCAGCATCTGTCAGTGATTTGAGTTCTTTCCAAGAGTACCATATCCGGAAATATCAAATTTATTAATAAATCAAAATGTCAG